TACCCAAGATTTAATCGGGAAATTTTATGTCAAAAGGATTTTACATGTATGGACTTGTAATCTAAAAGGTTTACTCACTATTCACTTAATACTAGATTCATGCTACTTGCCAGATGTTCCCATGATATGTGGGTTCTTAAAATTAAGGAGTTAATTTCATGAATAAGAATTAATAAGATTAATTCAAATTACAAAAGGTTGTAAACCCACTACTAGTATTAATAGTGAACCTAAAAGGTCACACCCAATTTTGAATGTAGATCATTTGAAATTAGTATTTCTAAAGAGTTAGAATTAATTGATAAGTATTAATTAAATAATTTAATTATTTAATTAATTCTAATTTTTATTAGATATCAATTAAAGGAATATACTAAATTAATCGATTTGATTGATTAATTATATTTTGGATATTAATTAAGTAATTAATGGAATTACTAAATTAATAGTTGGATTTTAAAATTAGATTTTAAAATTCAAATCCATATTATAATATGATTATAATAAGAGGAGATTTTATAAATATGCGAAATAATATATTTTGATCATAATATTTAATCTTTAATTTGATTAAAGATTAAAATAATAAATACAATATTATTAGATGGGATCTAATGATATTTTTTATTAAAATCATTTTAGATCTAGATGCCATCTAATTTGAATAAAATAATGATTTTAAAAATACAATATGACATCTTGTGATCTAAATGTTTTAGTATAAATAGGTGTACATATGTGATGTACAAATTACACACTTGTATTAACAAGAAAAATTGAGAAAGAAAAATCACAAGAGTTGTGAATCAAGAAGTGTTCTTGAACTTTGAAAATTATTTCCATATCAAGAATAGTTCTTGAAAATTTTAATAAAGATTAAAATTATAATCTCCTCTAAAATAAATATTCCGATACTAATTGAACAAATCGAGAAGTTTCTACTAGCGAAGAAACTAGTTCTCGAGATTGAATTTCAAAAAGGTGGATACTATTAGAGGGAAGACGATTGGATTCCTAAAGTGAGTAACAAGAAGAATTAATCGTTACTAAACCGGGAATTGATTTCCTCTATCATCGTCAAAGTTGAAGGAGTTCAAGTTAAAGGTAACTTCGAAACTATCTTTAAATCAAAATTTGTATTTATACATGCTTTTAAATGATGACGATCTGTTTATTCGCTTTATGTATTTACGGGTTAAGTATTTATGTGATAAATACTTGTTTTAAAAAATTTTATGCCGCTGCAAATCACCCGTACGGTACAGGCGAACCCAACACTGAGAACCTCACTGCTGTGCTTGAATGGATGAAGGAGCTGGACAAGATCTTCGCTGTGCTCCCTCTCCAGGATAGACAGCGTGTATCTCTCGCCGCTTTCCAGATGAAAGCGGATGCATCCGACTGGTGGATTGACCACTGGGCTCGGAGGCTAGAGCCTGAGCTTAACGCTCTCACATGTGATCAAATGAAAGTGATGGTCCATAGCAAGTTCCTCCCGCAGAGCTTTTGTGACCGCATGGAGCATGACTTCTATCATCTGCAGCAGAGCAACTCTAGCGTGGATGAGTACATACACACTTTCACTACGATGAGCATCTTTGCTGGCGGCACTGATGAGAAGAAGCCTCGTAAATTTCTGAAGGGGCTGAACCAGAGGATCCGTGAGCTGGTTGGGAGTCACGGTCTGATGTCCTATGCCGATACTGCGAGTCCGGCACAGGAAGTGGAGAGCTGTCTCATTTCGAAAGCTCTAGTTCTCTCGTACTATCATGCTGCTCAGTCTGTCCAGGCTGTACCTCCAGTCATTCCTCCGCTATCCTATTGGCCGCCGTTCATTCCTCATACAGCTTATCAGTATCCGGTTCCCTATACTTCAGTTCCCCCATCCTCTAGTTCCAACAAGAGGAAGAGTGACCACCAGCACAAGAAGAAGGGAAAACGAGGAGCCCCAGACCGACGCAATTCTAGCAACCGTACCTGCAAGAAGTGCGGCAAGTACCACACCGGCGAGTGTTTGGCAGATCAGCGGGCTTGTTACAACTGCCATCGCCCCGGCCACTGCGCCAATGTCTGCCTCGAGCATAAGAGGCAGCATCAGCAGCCCTTCCCCCATCAGCATCAGCAGCAGCTTCCCACACCGCCACCTCATTAGTAGCAGCAGCAGCCCAGACAGCCCCCGCCTTACCAGTAGAGGACAGGGAGCCAGGCCCGTGTCTACGCCATTTCCCACGACGAGGCCGCAAACAACGCAGGTACCATGTCTGGAATGCTTTCGATATCCAATGTGCCTGTTTTTGCATTATGTGACACTGGAGCAACCCATTCGTTTATCCCTTCTCGATGCCTTGAGGCTTTATCTGTTAGAATGCGTGTAAAGTCAATTCTCTCGAGGTTAGCCTAGCCTCGGGAAAAATTATTATCTCTGATTCCGTGGTCCGTGATCTTCATGTTAATATCGGTGGACGAGTTCTGGATGCCAACATATATCTTATCGAAATGCGAGACATCGACGTGATCTTGGGCATGGACTGGCTCACTCGTTATCGAGCCGACATCCGGTGCCAGGAGCGTGAGGTCACTCTCTTTCCCGATCCTGATCAGCCCGTTGTGTTCTTCGGGGTGAGTTCGAGGACTGTGCCTCGAGTCATCTCATCTAGTCAAGCTAGGAAGAGCCTTTCTAAGGGTAGCTGTTCAGGCTATCTCGTATCTATGGTGTTCGATCATGTTGACGAGCGAACTCCCGAAAGAGTATCCATTGTTTGCAAATACCTCGACGTCTTTCCCGATGAACTGCCAGGAGGACCGCCCGATCGTCAAGTCGAGTTCACCATTGACCTAGTACCAAGAGCTGGTCCCGTTTCTAAAGCCCCATACTGTATGGCGCCGAAGGGCTTCAAAGCATGCCGTGAGTGTAGCGAAGGGTCAGGCCTATGATGACCTTTATCAGCGCCTATGCACGAAGGAGGGGGAGAAGGACATTTATAGGATGGCTAAGTTTCGAGAGAGGAAGACAAGGGACATTAACCAAATTAAATGCATTAAGGATGGGTCGGATCGGCCAGTGGTGAAGGATGGGGAGATCAAGGACAGATGGCGAGAGTACTTCGACAAATTGTTTAATAGGGAGAGTGAGGGTCCTACCCTATAGTTGGATGACTCATTTGAGGATACCAATAAACGTGTGGTGAGAAGAATTCGGGAGGTAGAGATCGGAGAGGCTATGAAGAGGATGAAGGGAGGTAAATCAATGGGCCCTGATGGTATCCCCACTGAGGTGTGGAGATGCTTGGGCGCCAAAGCGTTAGCATGACTAACTAAACTTTTTAACCTCATCTTCCGGTCAAACAAGATGCCTGACGAATGGAGGAGAAGTACTTTAGTACCGATCTTCAAGAACAAGGGAGATGTTCAAAGCTGTGGTAACTACCGTGGGAGTAAGTTGATGAGCCATACGATGAAGCTCTGGGAGAGGGTTATCGAGTATCGCCTACGACGAGTGATGAGTGTGACCCAAAACCAATTTGGGTTCATGCCTGGAAGGTCGACCATGGAGGTGATTTTCCTAATACGACAGTTGACAGAGAGATATAGGGACCAAAAGAAGGACTTGCACATGGTCTTTATCGACCTTGAAAAGGCTTATGACAGAGTACCGAGAAATGTCATGTGGTGGGCCTTAGAAAAGCTCAAAGTCCCATCTAAGTACATTACCCTCATTAAGGATATGTACAAGGATGCGATGACGTGCGTCCGAACATGTGGGGGCGACACCAGCGATTTCCCAATTAAAATAGGACTACACCAGGGGTCAGCATTGAGCCCTTATCTATTTGCCTTGGTGATGGATGAGGTCACAAGGGACATACAAGGTGATATCCCTTGGTGTATGCTCTTTGCTGATGATGTGGTGCTAGTTGACGAGAGTAGAGCAGGGGTAAATAGGAAGTTGGAGCTGTGGAAGGACGCGCTAGAGTCGAAAGGCTTCATACTTAGTAGGACGAAGATCGAGTACATGACGTGCGCTTTCAGCATGGCTTCACATGATGATGGTGACGTTACCCTTGACGGGCAAGTGGTGGCCAAGAAGGAGACTTTCCGGTATTTGGGATTGATGCTACAAAAGGATGGCGGCATTGATGCTGATGTTGGGCATAGAATTGCAGCCGGTTGGTTGAAATGGCGTTAGGCGTCGGGCGTTCTCTGTGATAAGAGGGTGCCACAAAGGCTAAAAGGTAAGTTCTATAGGACAACGATTCGCCCGACGATGCTATACGGTGCTGAATGTTGGCCTACAAAAAGGCAACATGTCCAACAACTAAGTGTAGCAGAGATGCGTATGCTGCGTTGGTTTTGCGGGCACACAAGAAGGAATAGAATCCGGAATGAGGATATTCGAGATAGGGTCGGGGTGGCTCCAATTGAGGATAAATTGGTTCAACATCGGCTGAGGTGGTTCGGACATGTCCAACGGAGGCCTCCTGATGCACCGGTGCGTAGGGGAGTTCTTCAGCGGATCGAGGATGTTAAGAGAGGTAGAGGTTGGCCTAAACTCACTTGGGAAGAGTCGGTTAAGAGAGACCTTAAAGATTGAAATATCTCCAAGGATTTAGCGGTGGATAGGAACGCTTGGAGGCTCGCTATCAACGTGCCAGAACCGTGACTTTTGCTCCTCCCTCTCTCTCTCTCTCTTTCTCGTGTTTTTTTTTTTTTTTTCGATCTATTCCTTTTGGTTCGAGTCTTTTTGTGTTTCTCTTGAGTTTCCACTTTAGCCTACCCCGACTTGCTTGGGAATAAATGTTATATTGTTGTTGTTGTATCCGTTTCTTTTATTAACTGTGTTAGTATTTGCTAATCCATGGAAAACAGAACGTGCCGTCTGCAGATCCTTTCTCGATGACATTAACTTTTCCGAAGAATCATTCCATGGGTGTTCTTATCACAATTTAGGATGTATTAATACGAGGCAAATATTTCTTGGAGGGCTTTCTTCAGCTTCAAATATGGCTGGTCTGACTGAGCAAGGGTGACCACGATCATTTTCTATGTTTTATCTTCATATAGTGATTAATAGTCGACAAAAAAGCTCTTTTTAATTCAATGACATTGCAAAGTAATATTTTTATTTCTTAAATATTATAACCATTTATAGGAATAATTCAAGGTGTCGAGCGGCACTACACAACTGACAATCTTTTACGGTGGGACTGTGAACGTCTTTGATGACATCACCCCTGAGAAGGTGCCCCTTTTACAATTGGTGTATATTTATGTATTAATTTTTGGTTAAATNTTTTTTTTATATATATTTAGTACAACTGTCTGAGAAATGAATGCTTTAGTACATTTCTTCTCAACTATTGAGAGAGTATAGAATCATTGAAGAAGATGTTCCTAACTAAGAAAGAAAAGACTTTATTGTGGTTTGGTTTGAAATTTTGTATCAGTTGATTATTAAACTTGAGTTGTGGCCATGTTTCAAGCACGGAACACCGGAAAGGGTTTCAGACCATTTAATTTTATTTTATTTAGTTCCCTTCTTCAATACATTGTTATGACACTTATGGCTGGTTGAAGTTTTTGGTTAAATTTGTCCAGCATTAATTTTTTTCCTCATTTATTTCTCACAGGGCAGCAGCTCCGTACAATCGGATAAAGAATTTTGAAGCCTATTGTGCCACATCAGAGTCCAATGTCTTGTTCTGTTGCACTAAAGATACTGATGGGTAGTTTTTGTATATTCTGGTTTTTGAAATTGTGGGTCTTTCCAAGTTGTGTGAACTTGACCATAAGTGGTGTATTTGTCTATAGATGTAAATTAGTCCTGAGGTTTGGTGAAATTGTATAAAGATATGTAGTTTTATTTATTTTCTTAATTATATAAGTAGATTATTAACATTTTTTATTGTCAATTAGACGAAATATCAAGAGAACTGTAACAATTACCACGACGATTAGGAAGGCAATCTTTTCATCACAAGATGGTGATGATGTTGCACAATCTAGTTTTATATGTTTTGTGCATATTAAATTGTATTTTAACTCGTTAATTTCCTACTCGCCTGTCAAATAATTGGGAAGTGGGATGTAAAGAAATAATAAAAATGAAATGACAAAGAAAAATTATTATTTCAATTTTCGTCTTATCAACATAAATCTTGAGTAGACAATATATTTATATTTCAAATTTCCAAGTGAAGAACAATACTTGATTATGATTTATTCACATTTTTGTCACGTGCACAGAATGTGAATCATGTAGTAACTTGGGTCTATATATATCCACATGTATGAAGGTGCTATATGGTGATGGAGACACGATTGGCTGATACTGCTGAATAAGGAGATTCCAAACTAGATTTGTTTAGTACGTTGAAAATGTATTTAAATTGTATGGTTCTAATGTCCTAAATTCATATCTGATTGGAGAGCGGCGATTAACACCAGCCATTCCTTTGAGACGAAATTACCTCCCCATTACACAATAACATTTTTATTATATATTTATTAACCATATATATTTATTTACAAATTAACTAAAATTATCATATTTACTTACAAACATACTAGATAATTGAGCAGTAGATAAATATGTAAAACCAAATTTAATGGGACTGTAATTATCACGACATTTTTTCTCTCTTTCCCCCTCTCTATTTTTCTTCTTCCTCTCGCTCTTTCTCTCTCTATCATTATCATCTTTTTCTTCTACAATCCGCCGCTGTTCCTCCTACCCACTGCTCCTCCCTTTTAAATTTGTTTGGGTAAAGAGAGAGGCGTGTAGAATCAGAGACAGATCTATTATGTAGGAGAGGAGAGGGGTTAGGGGTTTTGTTGACGACGGCCTGATGGTGACGTTGACGAGATTTCGTGCCGGAATCGTAGTCGATCCACGCTACAATCGGCTTGCCGGAGTGGAGATTGAGATCTATCTTCGAACCCCGACGAAGTACAGTTGATTGTCCTTTGATTTGTTGTTTGTAGATTCAACTCTTCATTGACCAACTACATACTCTGTGTTTTCAGGAAAAAAAAAAAAAATTACATCCTCTGTTGTGTAATGTTTGTTAGTTGATGCTTGTACAAGTGAATCTAGATTCTCAGTTCTCGGTGTTTGAAGTCGTTTATTATTTTTTTCAATAAGCCTACATATTTTTTAGGATTAAATACGAGAAATCATTATCTTATGTATATTTTAAAGATTGAACACCGAGAGTATATTTTATGTATTTTATGTATATGTGTGTCTCGATCTGTCACTGGCTTGAATTCCAAGAATCTCGAGTGTATATCTTATGTATATTGTATGTATATGTGAGTTCTGAAATCGATTTTGAGAAAAGATTGAAACTCTAGTGTATATTTATAGGTTAATTGCCTTAAAAATCACAACCTTTAGTTAAATTGCAATTAAAACTCAAGGTTTTCATTTTAGCACCAAAAATACCAATCTTGTTTAAATTTTGCAATTGTGTCTCGAACAGATATTCCGGCCAGTACGCAATGACATGGCGGATCAGAAAAATGACATGGAACACAAATGCAAGCCGATTAACCCACGTCATCAGACACCTGTTTTTACACATCACACATTACCCACGTCACTCTCCACGTCATCAGCCACCTCATTGACACGTCACCTAATTGGACACATCAACGCCATTCCAATCGATTTTTTATCCAGCCCATTTCTTCATCCCAGCCCTAATCAATCGAATTCATCCCCTCGATGTCTGTGACCTCCTCGTCGACGGAGTAATCGAATCCCGCGGCGGGCTGAGCGCCGGAGAATAGAGAACTCAACTCCGGAGCACCTGCTTCCTGTGCTCCTGCTCGGAGGGGGATGACACCCTTCTACTGCCGGATCTATTCTCCTCGCCCTTGTAGTAGCCGTCGCCCCATCCCAACAGCGCGGGCCCGCCTTAGTCAACGACCGAGGACTGCCAAAAGGTGGCGTAGGTCCAGCTCTCGCGGGCGCCCTCGATCAACGTGAGGAGGCGCCGCTGGAGAGTTTCATGGCTGAGGAATGTCGGCTGCGTCTGGTGGTGGTCTCCGGCGGCGGAGGAGGAGGGGCAGAGAGAGGCTAGGTCGGAAGCGGACGACGAAATGAAGGCGTCGGCCATGGAAGCTCCGACATCCGTTGCGGCAGGAACGGCGGCCGGCCAGATATAATTCATGTTCGCAGGAGGCTGTGTGGACGTGGAAAGAAGATAATCTATTATCATTGCAGAGAAGAAATAACAAGCTTATCCTTATTTTGGAGGAGAGAGAAAATGTGGACGGCGTGTGGCCACAGCCACAGGGAAAGAGATGAGAGAGAATGAGAAAAGGGGATCGATTGAAATTAGGGCTGGGATGAAGAAAATGGGCTTGATGACGTGGAGCTGTTTTTTATAATAAGAGTGCCACGCAATCAAGTCCCGTGCCACATCATTTTTCCGGTTCGCCACGTCATTGCGTATTGGCCGGAATATCTGTTCGAGACACAATTGCAAAATTTAAACAAGGTTGGTATTTTTGGTGCTAAAATGAAAACCTTGAGTTTTATTTGCAATTTAACTAAAGGTTGTGATTTTTAAGGCAATTAACCCTATATTTAAAGTATATTTTATGTATATGTGTGTCCCGATATGTCGCTGGCTTGAATTACGGGAATCTCGATTGTATATTTTATGCTTATTTTATGTGTATTTTATGTATATGTGTGTTGTAAATTTTTATATGCTTAACATATACCAGAGATAAACAAAATCAATCACAAATTATTATTTTTGTTAGTCATATAATCTTGACATAAACAAATATGAGATAATTACTCCCTAAATATATACGGACTATAAATGCAATATATATTTCCTATTAAAAAAACTGAACATATACTAAATATAAATGCAATATATATTGCTTATAATAAACTGAAAATAAACTAAAAAATTTACTGTTAAAATTATTTACAAATTTACATGGAGAGATAATTAAAATTTATTGGGAATGAAATAAAGAGAAGAGTGAGAAGAGAAGGAGAAAATAATGGAGAAGACAAAGAAAAAAAAACGGATGAATAGGAAAGATAATGTGTGGAATAGGAAACAGTGTAATGGAGAATTGTTAGGAGTAGATAAATGAGAGAGGAAAGAGATTGCTTTTTAATCAGTTACGGTTTTTAAGGCACTTTTTGATTTGGAAACAAATTTCATGCAATAGTATAATTATTTTGGAAGAGTTGGATATTGATACAAATTCTTTGTTGCCAAACGTAAAACTGCAATTATTTACAAAAAGTGTACGATGTATGTAAATTACCCTTCATTTAACTTGTGCTAAACTGGGCTTTGGCCCCATGTAAATGGATTTCCTATGAGTAGGGTTTTCCAGGGCATGTGTTACGTTGTTGCTGGCTTATTCAATGTTATCCTTACCGTGTAGTCACCTCGCATGAGTGTCAATTGAAAATTTCTATCTTTATATTTATTATTATTATTATTATTATTATTATTATTGTTATTATTACTGATACTTAACCCGTGTGATGCACGAGCTGTATATTTTTTTTTAGTATAATAAATTGAAGTGTATTTATAAATAAAAAAGTGAAATATTATAAATTGAAACGTATTAATAAATAAAATAGTGATAATACGCAGCGAAATTATCAAGTCATAAAAATGTTCCTCAGGAAAAATTAATATATTATTCAAAAACTCCATGTACACAACACTATTAGTTTGATTATTGGGCAACTCGTCGTCCCACAAACTAATATTTTCAACCCATTTTTATTAGTTACACATGAAACAACACCATATAATTGGTCATGACTAAAAATCGGACTCTTCTTTATCATCATGCATACAAAACTATAAGTAAGAACTGACGTCGCTGGAACTTAAATGGAAACCTAAGATCAGAAGGATATCACATGATAATTTACATGGCAGTTCGACAAATGTTATTAGTTTATCATTTTAATATCGATTATACTTGATTAGCTAAATAATATTTATTAATCTTTTTATACTTTTTTAATTATATAAAAGAATATTAAATATGTATGTTTAAAATATTAAAAACACATAAAATATTATATATCATATGTAAGATTATCTAAAATATTATATATTTATTCCTAAAAAAATGTGAGGTCGCCTAAAGATTTTCTAAATTATTTTGTAAGTAAAAGAAAACCTTATGAAAACCGGGCTTATGAATCCCCGTGAGTTCAAACACGACTTGAATTATGTTTTGAATTGAATGAGTAACGCCGAAATGTTTATGAATCGAAAAATGAATTTCAAAATTTTTACTGTGATTTTTGGAAAGTCTGGAATTTCCTTAAAATCAAAGTGGGGCGTTACAGTTTGGTATCAGAGCGAGGTCTACATTTCTTTAGACTGCTCTATGTGTGAATTACATGCTTATGTGATTATGTGATTAAATGTTATTGTGACCTCATGTTAGACCACTCGTCTTCGTCATGCCGCACTGCTTAAGGTATGTTTTATATAAGTATCAATGAAAAGACTTATAATGTGAATTGTGGATTTGTGCATAAGTAGCAATGAAACTACTTGCGATGTGATTTAATGTATCATGTTGCTATATAAGGCTTAGAAATTTATCCTCCTGCTGTTAAACATGCTTGAACTTTAGATGAGTGGCGAACTAAGTGGTTTGAACATAAACTCTAGCGGTATAGAGTTAGGTTCCGACTAGAGAATTTATTTTTGGAAAATTCGATATGGTGTTATCGAGTTATGTTCTGTTGTAGCAGTCCTCTAGATGCAAATTTAGTTTCATCGAGGGAGGACCATTTGCGAGCCATCTCGAAAGGAGAAGGCTTAAGTAAAGGGAACAGACGACCAAAGGGATCCCATGTGTGGAATATTCGGGAGTCTGTAACCATTTTCGATGAGACCATTAGACGCGTGTTAGGACCCACTCAATGACGACCGAGAGTGGGGTCTAGGTGTCAGGTTCGTGTGGATGATCCGATTTCCTTTTGCTAATGGATCCATGGAGAACGATATAATGGTTGAATTTTCCCTGTTTATCGTTCGTTTTCCATTGGTTGAATTTGAAATTCCGTTGGTTAGTCGGGTTTATATATATTGGTTCGTATGCTCGTTCGATGCGTTGGTTGTTTTCTTAAATTCTTCGTGGATATCCGGACTCTCGATTCAAAAAAACGAGCCTCGAGTTGCTGTGATTAAATCATGTTAGTCGGAGCCTTGTTTTGTTATCCGAACTTTTACCTCGTGTTGATTGAGATTCATTGAGTGTGAAACCTTACTCGTGACCCTTGTATCGATAATTGATCATCGCTGTTTTTTCACCTATGAAACTCGGTCAAATGTTTTCAAACTCTTCTGGTGAATTAAATTTCAATCTCCTCCGTTCCATCCCGGACAAGGCATGTTGTTATCATTTTTTTTTATTTTATTTTAAGAATTTTGGCCAAAGGTTTGGCAATTATGCGTCCAGTTTTCTGTTGTACGATCTTGTAGGTGATCTCGATTCGTTGCTGTTTTTGAGCCCTGAAACCCCGTTATCACTTTTCGAATTCTTCATGTAAATTGTATATCAACTTGTTCCTTACATGAGGAAAAGGAATCGAGTGTTTAACATTTTTATCTTGAGAATATTGTCGAAATTTCGATCATTGCGCGGTCAGTTTTTTCGTGTAAATCGCAGAAGCTGAGTTTGACATTTTTTTTATTTTTTTATTTTTTTATTTTTTTATTTTTTTACTGTTGTTGGCCTGTTTCTGATAACCTGGGAATCGCGACATCTGCATAGGAGTTGTAATTTTATCTCTTAGGTTTCTATGGCGCAAGATTCATCTAAATATGTTTTATGCATAAAGAGATACGTCCAATATACGAACGTCGTGCAATCTATTTTTCTAAGATTGACAGCAGGTTTAATGTGTAAATTTGACCTGTTGTATCCCCTTAACTTTCCGTTCGCGCCTTTACCGCCCGAGTGTCTTTCGCTTAACCTTGATTATTTTCTTTTCGCGTGGTAGTCAAGTTAAATTGTGTTTTCGAGACTCCTCTTGGTTATTCTATTGTGTACTTTGGAAATTTCGCTAGATTTTTCCCTTCCTTGCGTAGGATTTCGGATGGAGTTGAGAATCAAAATTTTACCTTCTGTTGATCCTCATTTATTCTAGTAAATTTGGGAGTCTTGTTTCGTGATACCTCTTAGTCAATGCGAATATTTTAGAACGCGGATACAAACGCAAATCTCGAGGGAAAACTCGACCACGAGGAAAAAGAACGGTACTGTATTCAACTGTGATCGAGGTAAATGTAACTACAGATGGACGAGCTTAAAAGCCAACACCTAGCAGATCGATACAAAGGACCCAAACGCATCTTTCGGAATGACTCAGCGCAACAGGAATCCTGCGGACATCCGAATCCAGGTCGTGAAGTAATGCATCGCTATGAAGGGAGTCAAGAAGATTTTTTTTCATGAAACGAAGTCGACAACAATATCAAGAAGTATGTTTCCACCTTAAAGGATTACTCAGAAATCTTTTAAGGAGGATAGTCGAGTCCGGAACAAGCACGTCGTGAGCTGCAGAACCGTCTTTGTTTCAAATTTTGCCAATCGTAGTCTTTAGAAAATCTCGTTCCTTTTCACTCTTTTCGGAGTTTTGGGAGAAATCTTTTGTTGTCTTTCTCAATCCCTTGCGAACAATTGTTCTTGTTTTTGGTTCAAGTGTTGCAACCTTGTGTAACGGTAAAGACAAGTATTTTCGTTCCACTTGTCATATATCATTCCTTCAGTTGTGGTAATATCATTCGGGCTGAGCCACACGCTGACGATTGCTATGAATTGTATAGTCGTTATATTATTGCCAATAACGTCTCGGCCTATTCTGGAGAACCCTGGGACGTAGCAAGAATATCTGAAGATGTGATCGGAGACATCTTGATAGGAGGAACTTCACGCTTGAATCCAAAAGTGCGAAGATTGGGAGGTGGAAAATGAGTTGTGCCCTTTTAGGACTGCCGACACGTTTAGCTACCTGAGTAAAGTTGACGTGACGGCCGACGCTGTCAGTTGGAAGGGTCGAGGCAAGCTAAGTATTGTATCTCTCGGCAGGAGCTGCTGATTTGGGATTTTTTTCGACTGGAGAACTATATTAGTATTCTCTATGAGAATTATCGTAGATCTGTTGAGTATGGTGTTTAGATGTTTTGGAAAAGTAGTGGAC